AAAAACGTTGAAGCGTATTCTGCGAAACGGTTATGCAGGACTGTACGATACGGATATCGGTTTCTATTAGGAGCAAATGCCAAAACCGATATTCGTTTTGTAAGCTACGGATTTTTTTTAGAGAGTATCTCGCACTTTTATCGTATACAGCACGTACCAGAGAATAATTCTGGATTCGCCAGTGGCCAACATATTGATGGTGGTAGTGATATTAACTCAAAAAACGCTAGTAATGATGTGGTGACCGTTACACCCTCTTGTTCTAGACAAATGTTTTGGTTACTGACCTGGCTAGTGTTACGAAATGTGAGTGAAAGTCGAGTATTAGTTAATTTTAGCCGACTATAATGATATTTCAGTTGGAAATAAATGTGTCTTCCTTTTTATAGGGCATATTCGTTTTTCCACATTACTTCATGAAGCATCGTCGATATCTCCTGAGTTACGTATCCGATGGACGAGTCCACATCCAAAAGATTTTCCCGATGATTTATTATATGTAATACGTGAGCATCCAAATATATGTAAAAATATTCATTTACCATGTCAAAGCGGAAGTACAATAGTTCTTGGTAAAAACTTTTATTCTTACATTTTATTTTAAATCAGAATAATTTTTCTTCTTTTTTTTTATTGTTTAGAACGTATGAGACGTGGTTATACAAAAGAAGCTTATCTCGAATTAGTCGATCATATTCGTTCCATTATTCCGGATATATCTATCTCAAGTGATTTTATATCCGGATTTTGTTCTGAAACAGACGAAGATCATCAACATACTCTTGAATTAATTCGAAAAGTTAAATACAATTATATTTATTCATTTCTCTATAGTATACGTGAAAAAACAAAAGCATATTATCATTTAAAAGACGATATACCACGAGAGATTAAAGCACAACGTCACCATGATATTAATGAAATATTTCGATCTGATGCATTAAAATTAAATTCAAATTATATTGGACAAACACATCTTGTACTTGTCGAAGGAATAAGTAAACGTTCACAAGATGAATATATTGGTAGAAATGATTATAATACAAAAGTAATATTTTCAAAAAAAACATTAAAAAATATAGAATTAAATCCAGGTGATTATGTTGCTGTTCGTATTGATACGGCTACATCAGAATCGTTGCGTGCAACACCATTATATCGAACAACATTAAAAAAATTTTACGATATTTCTATTAGCACGTGACAATGTCACTTTTTTTGTATAGTTTTTGTTTTGTTTGTTATAGTTATTATTATTTAATAAAAGATAGATTTTGTAGCTTATGTACAACTTTTCAACATAAGTATAATTAAAAATAATGATCCGATAGACAGTTGCTATAATAAAAAAAAAAATGAAAATTAATCATCGAGTAAGTACCTATTATTTTATATTAAATTTCTTTTGTAATTACTAGCCAATAGAAATTGTTTAACTTTTAATAACCGTTGAACACATTTTTTCAGTTTCGAGTTATCAAATCTTCTTTATGTTTTTACAGTACATTTAATTGGATAAAAAAAATATATACTCGAACTTTTTATTTTTCAAACATTATAGAATTTTGTGCATGGAACGCACCTTATTATCATTCGATGATTTAAATATTGATTCATCTTTAATTAAACGTTTTGAACATTCAAATATTCGTACTATCTATGATTTATATTGTTATTCACCATTTGAATTGTCATTAAAATTTCATTTACCATTAGATACAATGAATGATTTATTAGAAAGAATTTATGTTCAATTTTATATTCAACCAACAACGGCCTATGATTTATTAATTCAAACACAAAATCAAAATATTCCAACTAATATTTCAACATTAGATAATTGTCTCAAAGGTGGTCTACGTCGAAAATCTTTAACTGAATTATGTGGTTCATGGGGAAGTGGAAAAACGCAATTTTCTCTTTATCTATGTTCACAATGTTCATTAGCATTTAAACATACAATTTATATTGATACTGAACGAGCATTTTCAGCTAAACGTCTATTAGAAATAATTATATCTTGTTCTGAACAAAATCATAATAAAAAACTATTAAATTATGATAAAAAATATTATGAAAAATATCTTGAATATGTACGGTATGAATGTGTAAGTGATATGACACAATTAATGAAATTATTAAATACAATTGAACAAGAATTACAAGAGAAAAATGATCATGATATTATATTAATTATTGTAGATTCAATAGCTGCACCATTGAGAGCATCAACTCCATATTATAAACGACATCAATTACTACTGGAGTTTACTGATCTTGTTAAACGTTTAGCTGAAAATTTAAATCTTGTTATGTTTGGTACGTATTGTAGTCAAATTAAAAAAGAATTTTATACGGAATACGACCTTAAATATACTCAAAAATTACAAAACTAGAAATTTTAAATTTATCTGAACAGAGATAGAATCCATAGATTTTCATATTATCGGCCTCAAGTACGGATAGACAAATTTTAAATTATCTAATAAATCATAGGTTTTTCGATATTTGTTATATGTATTTTCTCGAACTATGAAGATTTCAAATCTTTCTACACAAATTCTTGGCAAAGTATGGATTTTACTATGAAAATCTGTTTTAACAACTATTTTGATTTTATAAATCATGCATATATGTGAACAACATCTGGTCAGACGTTATACCTGTAAAAGTGGGTCACAAAACTTGATGTTGATGTAAGGCACCGCTAATTCAAAAATCAAGTCGAAAAGCTTTTGAATGTTCAAACACATATTCTGATTCGTCGGACGCTGCTAATCACAAATCTGATCTTATTTTTTCCATTTGACCGAGTTTTAATGCAAAAAATCTCAAAATACTGTGAGAGCGTCAAAAACCTTGAAAAACCGATTTTTCAGAAAAATCCCGATTATCTCCTGATCTTTTCATTTTTCGATCTCACCGGTGCGATTTTCGGATTCAGCATCGCGAAGCACAGCTAGGCACTTGTCATTCGACGACTTTTCTTCTAGTCTTAAACTCTTGTAGCTGATCAAACATTGATCACTCGAACCTTGAGGTTCTCACCGCGCATGCTATCTAGTTTTTTACCATGAGAGCTAGAGACTTCTTTCATACGCCAGAAGATTTGCCTTGCCATACTCCACAAAAGCATGCTTCGTTTTCTTCAAAACGTTTTTCCTTTTGGCAGAAATTAGGAAAAGACTGAAAAACTGCGAGTTGTTTGAAAAATCCTACAGATGATAAGCCCATAGCTCAGTGATATTTCCATCTAGAGAACTGCTATTATGGTTTTCTAGGTAAAAAGCAATGCTGAATACGTTAGAAATACGTTTGAGAGGTTTGGACTTTTCCAAGTAGGTATCGCAAAAATGTCTTGCGAGGATTTATTTCAAATTATGACTATTTTCTATTTCTGATTATTAGTTACAAATCAAATCACAACCAAACGACGTAGTGGAGTATTAATTGAAAATGATTCATCAGTAACACATCAAGCAAAGACTATTAAACAAACGTCAAATGAAAATAGTGAAATTGTATTTTCTCAATCATTATTGATTAGCGATATTCAACAAAAACTGTGTGAAGATGACGAGAATATGGATAATAATGAGTACTATATGGGTATTGCACTAGGCAAAGCATGGACCTATAGTGTAAATCTTCGTTTAGCCATTTCATATGATGATGCTTATAATCGAGAGCAACGACGTTTAATTATTGGAAAATCGATTGATTGCCCCGGATATTCAATTCCGTTTCAAATAACGAATTGTGGTATTGAAGAAGGAGAAACTGTAGTATTGAATGAACTAAAACAAGAGCAACATCTACATCAAAACAAAAAAATAAAATTGTTGACACCACAACTTATTGTAGCAGATAATATGCAACTTGTTGGCAAGAGAATCCTTTAGTGTTGTCTTTTTCTGTTATTATTCTATTTTTTAGAAAAATAAAGAAATTAAACACTGTCAGAATCAATATTTTCTGTTTAAACTGAATAGAAAGATGTTTTTATTGTTTTCTAGCGATATTCAAAAACAGGATTATAACTTGTCACTGTTTAAGTTTCAATTGTAATTTTTCTCAAAATAGAGTTTTTGCTCGTATATGACATGTTTATAAATTAGTTAATAATAAACTCATGTGACTTTTTTACGTTGTATAATTAAAATTTTTTTTAAGTAGCATCCGCTGATGATACTATTTTTTGTAGATGTTTTTCGGTTCAATATCACGCTTCATTAACATGTAAGAAGTCTTTACTCTCGTTTCTATGTAGCAAGTTTTCAATTATATAATATATGCATTTATGTTTTACTTTTCGATAAAGTTTTCCAAAAATAAAAAAGCTCATTTGTTGATATTTTTTCATTTAATGAGATAAAATTCTCTCAACATTCGTTAAAAGGTTGATCGAAGTAAATAATCACTATTTTTATGAATTGTCTTCAAATGAGTATATCTCACCTTCAAATCTAAATGCAATCTATCTTCTCTGTCCTATTCTTCAATAACTCTATGAATTATTTCTTTTTATGTAATAGTATTTATCGGGTTTCTTGAATCTCATTCCATACATCTACAAATTTTTATCTTCTTTTCTATTCAAATGTCGAAACATTTATGAGTAAATTACATTCAACTTCATGGTTTATTAATAAAAATCTTAAGAATAATAATAATAATTAATAAAAATAAACTGCACTTAGAGGATCTCTCCATCGATCTATTATGGTCATACCACCAACACCGAAATACAAATAGTATACAATCTTTAATCTTGTCTGTGGAGTATAAAATGTATGACTATTAGAAAAATCGACTATAATTAAATTGACTAATGCAGCATAAATGAGTATACCGGCTTAAATGGAATCAAACATTCAATTGACTAATAATGTGGAAACTGATTTAAGATTATACGTTCCTTGATGAATTCCAATTTCAATGACTACACTCACGGCAGTTGTTACAGCAAAAATTAGTATAATAATAATAGCTGGTATTATTGATTTTTGTTTTAATTTAGCAATTTGTGCTTCTAATGCCATATTTTAAAAGAACTGATGAAAGACGAGAGCAATAAATAGGACGATGAAACTTGAGCCACTTTTTGTCCAAAGTGTTATGCCGATCAACACACTGTGCGTTGCTATATCAATTTCTAATAAATATGTTGAAATTTTATGCTGCTGCATTTCTTCAAGTATGATACTGTGACAATGGGAACTTTTCTACTTCATCTGACACAGAAATTATAGTTGATATTGTTGGTTTTTCTGGTGGAGATCGTTGTGTAGCGCGATCTGTCTTATCCTCATTACTTACGTGTTTTTTAATATTCTTGCCATTCTGTATGTAATTCGTTCCTAGTATATCATTTCTTTTATTTTATTTTAATTTCTTTCACTCTTCGATATTTGGCGTGTGTAATGGATTCAATTAATTTCATGATTAGTACAGCAAGTATTGCAACGAGTGTTGTGTGCACTCTAAACATTCGTCAGTCAATGCTTCGATGGTGCCTAGTAACATGTGAATAAATCCTGTGGCAGAGGGCTGGAAGACGGTACAAAGTTTGTGCCGAGATGTTATTAACTATGAAAAAGCTATACTCAATCTTTTACTCCCTTTACTTTTTTACGGAGTTGATGATCCTATAGAATGCGAATACTTTTCGGGTTCACTCTCACCCAGCTCTCTCCTCTCCTTCCCCCCATTCGCGAACACACACATAACTTTGTGCATGTGTCTGTGTCGAACAAATGTGTACATCAAGCACAGCTCTGGCCAGAAGGCTAGCCTGACACAGAGTTCTTGTGCCCAATTTCTTGAGCTCCCCTTTCCCATACACATTCACTAACCACGTACTAGCTTTGCGGAAAGCCACGAGGACTAGCCACCGAAGTTTATTGTACACGATAACGTAGTGAGTATGCTATCGAACGGATGATCCGAGGCACCAAGATATAAGTAACTTGCCTAAGGTTATTACACGACTTTGCCGGCGCGGATGTGTGAATACAATACTTTTGAAGTACGTGACAAACAACATAACCATCAAGCCAGGCTGTCCCAATAATTGGACTAACATGTAAACAGCTGATACACGTTGAAAAAACCGAAAAGCGATGCTCCAAGAAAAGATATAACTGCAATAATAAAGAGTGAGATAATATGCAACTTTTAATTATATACAGGGTGGTTCAAAAGTTAGGTGATAAGTGTAACTGAGTATTTCAAGTTTTTGACAATTGTTTCTTAATAGTTTTGATAATTTTTGACATTTTGACTAATGCGTGTTGATGTTAATAATTGTGACGTAAGTAAATAATTATGATGTAATATTGATATAGATAAAAATAAAATGAAAAAACTTAACGCTTCTCAGACAATATGTTTATTATGTCGACAAACTTTATGTGTTTTTGCTGGGAATTTTGTTTTTTATTTTCTTCTTACTTATATGGAATGCCTAGGAGATGGATGAATAGTCAGCTAATGCTGATGTGGTTGGTTCGTGAATTCCGACGTCATTGATTTGGCTGTTAGCTAGGTTTGGATCGATATTTTCGGAGGACTTCTAGCGAGGCAGTGTTGCAGCTGTCAATGCTGAGTGTGTCGCATGTATGAATAGTTGGTTCGGCTGTAGTTTCGTTGAGTATGTTGTGTAATGGAGTAAAGAATTGATTTTGTTTTGATTTTAGAGGTTGCATTTATGTTCGTTGCATGTCTACTGGGTTATGAGTTTTTGTGATGTTGCACTTGATTGAAAGTTTTTATGTCAATAGACAATATGTGTTTTTGCTTGGATTGCTATGTTGACAGACATTATGTGGTTTTGCTGGGATTTTTATGTCGACGGTTTAGTCAGAGAACGAAAAATAATTTCTTTCTCTGTTTTTCGAATTTCCTTCATTGTTGTTTTATATTATAAGCAGTTCAAAGAGTAAATCAAAGCAAAAATACTCACAGCCTACTAATAGGATCTGCTTGGAGCAGTAGGTTCAGTCAGAGACAGTCGCAATCTAGTTTTAAGTTTTTCTTTGAAAATGTTTTCATCAAACTTAATTTTCAAAAATACGGGGATACTCAGCAAAAATACTCACCTCTTGACTTCCTTGATGTCTCATTTGATATAAAAATTCAAACAAAGAAAAGCCAATAAATGTCTGTTTAATTTTAGGCATTCGTTTTCTTTCTTATATGTATAAAACCAGTACGAAAAACACCTTTTTTTTAATAATGTCTACATACTTAGTCTATATCGTCCAAATATTTCATATTGATAAAGTAAAATTTTGCTCAAAAATCGACTTATTTCATATTTTTCATATATGACGGTCATATAAAGTAACTTCAGAATTAAAAAGAATATCTTTAAATACATTTTTTTAAGAAGAGATTAATTGAACAATATGCGAAAATGTTCATGATCACGACGAGGATAAGAATAATCGTCCGACTTTCTTCTTTGTTTTTTCGTTGAATGCCTGTTGATCAAGCATAAATTGTCTAAAATTAAGATACAAATGATTAAAGTATCTTTAGATGCCAACAGTTATTACTCGTAGTTGACTTCATCTGTTGCGTTTGCGCCCATATGTCGAAAAATTTCATCAAGTTCCTCGGACGTAAAATGAATATTGAGTTTCTATAAAAATACAAATGAAAAAAAAACAAAAAATTAGAACTTTTGTATAAATCATCATAAAAAATAATCTACTTCGAGAGCTTGACAAAATTTTTCTTTGCTGATAATTCCATTGCTATCTGTTTCCGTATTCATAATATCATTTGATGAATCAATTGATTTGAAAAGATGTAATAAATCGACATTTTGCCGTTCAATTAAATTTCGTAATTTTTGAAATGGATGTACATGTTTTGGTTTTGTACGTAGAACAGGTGGTTTACTCGTACCAGTTAATACTTGTAAATGTACTCGATGTTGTTGTAATATATTGAGAACATCTATACAATCTTGATTTAAATTAATATCCTAAATAATATCGGTTTTGATAAGTTCGAAGAGAGAGTATATTTTTTTTCTTTTTACAATATTACTGTTAAATCGATGATATCTAATTTGGATGTTTCACTTTTGATAAGTGGTTTTAATAATGCATAACATCCAGCTGTTTCAAGAGGATTTCCAGCGATCTAATATTAAATTAAACTACAGTTTCTTAAGCACAACACAAAGATAAATTTATATATTTACAGGAAATATTTACTTTAAGAACTTTTAATCCTTCGTTTTTACTTAAACCTCGTCCAATGAATGTGGCTACTTCTGGTGTTATACGATTGTGACTAAAAGAATAGTAAAACAATAGAATCAAACCAATGGCTTCCATTTTTCTTAAACTTAGACACACCTTAGATCAAGTTCCAACAATGTATTATTCTCTTTTAACGCTTGAAGTAAAACTTTTCCTGATTCCTTACTGACACCATTCCATGATAAATTCAAGGTTTTCATATACACATTTTTCTAAACAAAAACAGAGGTAAGCATTAAGAAAGTTAAGAGAACATGGAATTTAAGTACTTGAACGCCCTTAAAAAATGCCACTGCACCCTTTTCACTTATGGAATTCCAGCTTAGATCTAACAAATCCATTGTTGTATTTTCAGCAAGTGCTGGACCAAAATATTTTCCAGATATGGGACCAAATTTATTTCGAGATAAACGTAATGTACGCAATTGACCGGTACTCTAGAGTAAGAAATATTAAATATAATTTTAACGGACGACAGTAATATACATTACCGAAATTAATTCGCTAAACAGGCGTGCACATTCATCATTGAATAAATTTCCTAAAAATAAAAAAAATATCACTTTTTTTCTAATTTTATTTGATAATTCAGACAAAAAAAAAAGTTTGTTTGCATCACATGAAAGTTCGTGGCATTTAAGAATTCTTCTCATCTCTTGTCTTATTATAGAATTGTATCAACAGACTGGAGAAGGGCATGAAGTTCGAATAGAGTTTGTCTAAATGCAAAACCAGTAGAAAATGCTTAACATCATATCTATAGATATAGTTACTATTTGTCTACACAATTCTTATGACTCTAACGGATTATACAGTCATAATCCGTCAAAAAATCATGAGATCATGAAAGATTTGAAGTTATACAAGTCAAAAAGTTATATGTATCAAGCATAGCCACAAAGCTAAAACATAGAAATATTCTAGTAACTATATAACCTGTAAACAGTCAGAAATTCTTCTTTCATAACAGATACAGATCTTTTTGCTAAACAATTTTCATTTAGACAAACTATGTCCAGACTTCATACTCTGAATTGAAGAGAGTTACAATTTTTACCAGAGTATCTCCTCGAAAAATAAAAATGATCATACTTTTTACGCAGGCTTTAGTTATAATCTTCTGTAAAATGGAATTTTTCATAATGTGTCGTATCGCTCTCATCGAAACTTTTTCTGTTTGAGCCGAAATTTTTACCACGAATACCCGGTTCCAATAAGCGCAGGTGTTTTTTGGGTGTTTAATTCTCTAAGATCTAATGTTGAGGATTTATAAGAAAATGTCGCACAAAACCAAATTTCGGTTTCAAGCTTCCAGAAATAACCCTCATTCTCTATGAAGAAAAGGTGTTCCGGACATGAATCGAAAAAGACCTGAGCGTATGAATGTTTACTACCTGTGATAAAAAAAAGTGGACTCAAAGGTAGAAAATTTCAATGAGTACAATGCGCAATCAAAAACATAATTTTACAGCAAACCATACATAAATGTGAGTTCTAAGATACGTGCAAAAAGTATGACCATTTTATTTTCGAATGCTCTTCATAGTTTAAACTAGGGATGTTAGAATACAAAAGTTTTTTGGGGAGATATTGACAAAAATGCTAATAACTTTTGAAGAAAGCATCGTGGAGAGCGTCTCATTTTGAAGTAAACCTTTCGATTGATGAGACAGGTTCTTTGAAACAAAATTGTTTTATAGGAAAGAAAAACAAAAACATTCTGTGCGTTTAAAATTTGACTTTTTTCAACATAAGAATTGTGTCAGACATGAAAAATTAATTTTTCTCAAAGAAAGGTCGTAATGTGCTGAGAGTGGTCCGCAACTATGGATAACACTTGACTCTATTATACACTATGTTCAACTCAAAGATCGATATTTTGTGTTTCAGATGGAGAGTGCACCTTAACACTTTCATTCTTACCATCTAATATAAGATTTTTTACGGTTATATTATGACGAAATATCTCACAGATAGCTTTTGTTCCTTCTATTTCTAAAAAGTTATATGATAAATTCTAGAAAGAAATGAAAATACACATTATAATTTATTTTCAATTCATATTTTCTTTTTTACCAGATCTGTAATGGCTGTATTATCTTTAATTATGTACGATAGATAAATTGCTCCTTCATCTTTTAATCCATTGTTGGATAAATCAAGATTTATTATATGTTGATTAACCTTTGATAATGTATAAAAGAAAGTTCAATGATATTCAATAGCTGATGAACTACTACTTACAGTCAGTGATGGTATCATACCGCGTATACCTCGTGCTCCTAACCCATAATATTTCATGTTCAATGATTCATCCATATGGTGACGAATATATTGATTTGACGGAACAATATCTAGTTGTTTGCATCTTCGATGATACATACCCAAACATGTATAATCTTTTGATTTTTCTTCTACAAAGTCAACAACAATAGCAATTATTTTCTATAATAAAAATGAAACTTAGCTTTCTTTACGTTCTTCTTCAATATCTGTGTCGTAAAATAAATCATCATCGCTGTCATACGATTTTTTCGATGAGACAGAGGCAATATCATACAATTCTCTATTAAAAGGAAATGATCCACTAACGGTTTTCGGACGATTTAAACGATCAGCAACTACACTATGTTGATATTTTAGACGCTACAATAAATATACATGATGAGAAGTAGCAACTTTAATTATTTGTTGGATATATCAAGACTTATTGTATGTTATATAGCCTTGATCTCATAAAAAAATTAGATGATATTTAACAAAACTATTTACTTTATCTTCATTAACAGTTATTGGTCTTGCAATTTGTATGGGATTTGGAAATATTTCAGTATTTCGTAGAAACATGTTGCTTGTTTAAAAAAAGTTTATATGTAATCGAAAAATTTTCTTTGAATTTTTCTGAGAAGTATGATATAAAATTAATTTTGAAAAAAACGAAACTGTATGGTTTCCACCGCATTGTTTTATTAGTAATGCTGAATACAAAAAAAAATGAGAATACACTGCTTCCTTTGTTTAATTTATCATCATATATTCTTTATTTTTATTTTTAAAATGCTTCGCTTGACTTCTATAAGAACAACTCACATATTATTGGCACGAATATAAGCTTAAAAGTACATTTACTAGGAAATAGGACGTAAGGTTTATCGTAAAGTGTATGCTTCTTTATTGAAATCAACGATAACGCACATTAGTTCGATACTAACAGGTATCTGACAAATATAGCAGACGAAAGTTAATTCACACACACGCCTTACCTACTAACACGAACCTTCCAGCTGCTAAATTCCTTTTTCATGAAACACTCATTGTTTTTCAAAAGAAAAGCGTATTTTACAAAACAAAAATGATTCACCTAAAAGAGTTTCAAAAGAAAGAAGAATTCTTAGCACTCGAAAACCAAAAGGTTTTGGCTATTTCTTTGGAAAGCAATACGATTTATTGAATGTTTGCTGTCTTGTCGCTGTTTGATTTGAGTTGATTCTTGGAAAGATTACTGAGTTTGTCCTTGGTATAGAATCATCCATGAACTACGTTACCACGCTACCTATGCCTTCAGCTGTTAACACAGAAAAGATATTTCAACAAGAGAAAGATCGATGAGCGCTATCATAGTTTTTTGACAAAACGCTTTCAGTACTAAAAAATAAAAAGATTTTCGTATACCACATGTGTGGTTAATATTTCGATGAATTTTAATATATAGACGTGTAGTGCGAGAAAATAATTCAATAGTAATTGGTGCGTGATGCAGTGTAATCGATAATCCTCAGTCTATAGTGTTTATTCCGATTTGGTTTTTCTTATTCGTACTTGGTCGCAGTTTACTCTGAGAGCGCTATGAAAAGTTAAGACTGCTACTCCTGCCACATTTTGAAACTGATAAACAGAAAAACTGTGCATTTGAGAGAAAACATAATTATACCCTTTGTCCATTTCTGCTATATGTGAAAAATCTTTTGGTTATGTGAGTTTCTCGAAAATGTTTTTCTAAACTGGAAGAAAAATGAATTAAAAATGTTTTCTGCTTACATTTCTTTACCGGGTTTTTTTCTAGGTAAAGGTGCACAAGTTCGCGAAGATCAAATTGGAACAGCTGGAAGTACGAGAGATGTTCCCAATTATCAGTGATATGTGAATGGTTAAACAACTATGACAAGCGGTTCACCCACACTGTAAAGTCGGGAATTACTTATAGAAAATGCTCGGCGATTTTCAAAAAGTCCACGCATAAAATCCTCACGGCTTTTCCAGATTATAGAAAATCGAATTTCCAATAATGTGGAAAATCGACATCGATTTTCTACATTGTTGGGAAGTGCAAGCACATTCATATGGTTTCAAAGAATCATTTTTGTTCATATATGCACCATATTGTTTACAATATGTACCCAAAAAATTACATTATGATAAAACGTTGAAAAGCAATGTTCGTTAACTGACATGGGCGCAAAATCATCTTTCTTGTGCTTTTCTAAAAAAAAAGATACAAAACCAAATTACTAGTGATGTGTGAACGGTTAAACCACTATAGCAAGCGATTTACCTATTGTTTCCGAAGTGCAACCACCTTCACATAGTTTCAAAAAATCATCTGTGATCCCAAATGCACCAGATTGTTCACAATATGCATTAAAAAAATTTGCACTATAATAAAACATTGAAAAGTAAGGTTTGTTGAATGTTGCTGATGAACCAAAGCTGAGAGTATCATTATCATGACTTATGGGAACATCTCTCGTACTTCCAGCTGTTCCAATTTGATCTTCGCGAACTTGTGCACCTTTACCTAGAAAAAAAACC